TAATTACTATCATTACATTAAGTAATATATTTCTGTCACAGTTTATTCAAGTTTAAATTAACTTTTATTTTGGCGGGTTGCTGTGACAACCTTTAAGTTTCTGATTGTATATAATATGATATTTTTTTTAGTGATTGACCGATATTGATTTTTTATAACCGATACCAATTATTTGCATGTTTGTGCGCCCGATAACCAGAACCTATATTTATTCACTGTTATAAAGTAAATAAATGACTGAGAAGTAAGAACATACTTCACTTTGGTTTTTCCTCCTTTACCGATATGCAGAACCGATATTTATTCACTGTTATAAAGTAAATAAATGACGAAGAACATACTTCTTTGGTTTTTCCTCCTTTCAGTCATCTTAAAAAAAAAAGTGTTGACAATTAGCAGTCTTTCATGAATAAATAAAGGACAGGAGTCATTTGAACTTCATTTTAAACTACAGTTTTAGTAGGTTTATACGATGTTTAATAGACTAAAGAGTGAAGAATAATTCACTGGATAATGTTAATTCTCTGAATAATATTCTCTGGAATATTGGAATATAAACAAAACATCGTATTTTATTGCATTCTTTAACTGACATGTTATATCAGAATTACTAATGTTTTTGTCCTTCTAGATTATGAAATGCGTGCTGACAAAGCGCTGGAGAATTAAATTTAGCGTTTTTATTTTCAACATGTGCTGATTCATGGCTGTATTATTTAATTAATGCAAAGTTACATCTTTTTTGGGACAGGACTTGACGGATTATCTTACGTGACTCAGTGAGTTCGTCTCTATTTCTAGACAAGCTGCATAAACTAGCTACATTTCAGGCTTTTATGTAACATCTAATATGTGCATTAATGGCTGTTATGTTAAATAAAGTTGACTAATTACAGCAAAGCAAGTACGTATGCTTTACCCATGCACGCCGTTGTTGTTGTCTCGTCTCCCCTCAGACGCCGTGCAGCAATGGCGATCCTGCGCGCAATTCTCAAACCACCCACAAGATGGCGGCGTTTATCGGTGAATCCGATATTACAAAACCGATAACCGATTATGGTAAAACGCTTAAATATCGGGAAAAATATCGGTAAATCGATATATCGGTCGATCTCTAATTTTTTTCTCAAAAGAACTGGTGAAATGCTCATGAAGTGACTCTCAGAGCAGTTCTAGAGCTGATGTTCATGTGAGGCTGGAAACACCGCGAGCGTCCGTTTTCTGCGTCGTGGAAATCATAGGGCCCTAAACACCACTATATGTTTCTGTTTGTGTTTAAAGTAAGGTAAAGAACTGGCTGACGCTGGAGTTTTAATGATTTAATCATTACTATAATTCGTGGCATTATTATTTATAGATTCATATTCACATTTCAAGCATATTCATTATTCATCATATCCAGCGGAGTGGAAGCATTAATCTGAATACACGTCATGTCTACTGACACTATGATTCCTATTTTCCGGTCAATCAAAAAAATCTGTGATTCAGCTTCAGGAGATTGGAGTGAGTGCTGACTCACTCCATCATTGATCATTGATCAAGTGATCAATGATTGATTAATCGACGATAAGAAATGTAATCGATCAAAGCTATCGCTGGGCGGTTAAGCAGTTTCTTTGTGGCCGCTCCCGCAAACATTCTTATATTGTTTATAATTTTCACGCTACCAATATGCGGGTATTGAAATCGCTTTTGAATGTGTGCTCGCTGTTCACTTTCGTGTTCACGCACATTCTGTGTAAAGGAGCACATCTAATCTTACAAGATGAGGTATTTGTCAGTGAGTTCAGGATCTGTTGAGCAGCAAATCCTCCAGCATGATCCGTCAGTCATCTCTCCTACTCTCCACCCGTGATCAGTCAAGCTCGTGTGCGAGGCAGGGTTGCAAAGTCCGCGTTTTTTCCACGAAATCGGGCTACTTTTATTAAACTGATGCACTGGGTTGATTTTTCCCCGTGGGTAAACAAATAAGTATAGCATAATTTACTTACTTGAAATACTTGGGGGGGAAAATACTTAAAAAATAACGTTTAAACTGATAGTATTAATCGGTAATTTTTTTTACTTTCGGTTAACGGTTAATATGAATATCCCTACATGGGACACACACTCACTCATTTACTCACACTCACTCCAGGGTATATACAGGAATCATGGAGTTACATTTAATACCTCAAGACCCTTTTTAAGACTCTTACCATACATTTTAAGACCTCATCGCCAGTCCAAGTTGTAACATTGGCGACACTTTAACTTACATTTACTATATATTGATTGTAAGATAGCACAGCTAAACAGTCTTACTTTGTGATAACTCCTTATCAATGCAACATAATTCAGAAGGGTAGGAATGAAGCACAAGACAATTACCTGAGTGACTAACCAATGCAACCCAAGAAACAAGAATTAGACCAATAAACAAAACAACAGACAAAACTTGAGGGAAAATAAAGCACTCCGAGCTAACGGGGCAATGAGTTCACGCGGTATATTAAAAAGATGTATTTGTCACATCAACTCTTATAACTGTCTGCAAGCCATAGCTGTTTTGTGGAGCACTTCTCACGACAAACACCTGACTGATCAGACAGTTTAGCTGTGATTACAGAGTGCCTGATTTGATGCAGACTTCACAGAGTGTCAGTACTGCACCTGATCGTGTCTGAATGATCATGGAAGGTCAAATAATGATCACAACTATTACATCATTTTAATTCTGCATCCCGTGCCAGTAAAAAACAGCCCAAAGTAGCGCAATGACCATGTCCCAAATATCAAAATATGTCATCTACATCCCTAAAATACATATTTTACAGTCACTGTTATGCACATTTATCATAAACACTGCTCAAATGCTTCCTACAAGTGTGGCCCAAAACATTTAGCACAGTTTTATTACAGGTAGAATGCAAAATGTTTCAGTACAAGCATTTCAACCAAATGTAATTTATGCAATATTTCAAACCTTTAACCCACTGGGGAAAATCAGCCCATGGCAACAGTTTAAAAGCAGCCCAATTTC